TCTTTTAGCCGCTTTCTTGCTAAAGGAATTACAAGAATTACATGCTGTTCCAACTGTCTGTTGAATTCCTCATTTTCTCAGCAATGTTTTAGGTTTCCAAGCCCCTTCTGGAATTATCAGCAAACGGGGTGGGGGAATATGATAAACCTTGAGAAAAATATCAAGAGGAATTGAAGGAATGCTGCATATTTTTTTTTCATGAGGTTGTCCTTTCTGAATTGCATTAGGGAACACATTTTCCTTCCCCCATTCTAATTTACAAATATGGCTTTGGGGAATGCAATTCTGGAGGCCATTTGATTCCCTGCCGCCCAGCATATTTATGGCATTCTGCATAATTATCAATTTAGGGAACTTCATCATTGCTCCTTCTGGAAATGCCACTTTGAATTACGAGTTAGGTGGAAATCTGGGCGAAAAAGTCTGGTCGAGTTTAGTTGCAGGGTTTTATTAAACATGCACCCAGGAGGTTCAGTGGAGACATTGGAAGGAAGGAAGGAAAGAAGGAGGGAGGGAGGGAGGGAAGGAAGGAAGGAAGGAAGGAAGGAAGGAAGGAAGAAAAGAAAAAAAGGAGGAAAGGAGGAAAGAAGCAAGCAAGCAAGCAAGCAAGCAAGGAGGCACAGCAGGGAGGTAGATAGGTATACAGTTAGGGAAGGAAGAAGATGAGGGAGGGAGGGAAGGAAGGAAGGAAGGAAGAAGGGAAGGAGGGAGGGAGGGAGGAGGAAGGGAGGGAGGGAGGGAAGGAAGGAAGGAAGGAAGGGAGGGAGGGAGGGAGGGAGTCCTTGATTTACCACAGTTCATTTAGTGACTGTTCATAGTTACAACAGCACTGAACAAAGCAACTTATGACCATTTTTCACACTTATGACTTTTGCAGCACCCCCATGCTCACGTGATTCACATTTGGAAGCTTGACATCTGACTCACATTTATGATGGTTGCAATGTCCCAGAGTCACATGAGCCCTTTTTACGACCTTCTGACAAGCAAAGTCAATGGGGAAACGAGTTTCACTTAACAACCGTGTGACTAGTTTAAGAACTGCAGTGATTCATTTAACAAATGTGGAAAGACAGGACATGAAATGGGGCAAAACTCATTGAACACACTTCTCACTTAGCAATATAAATATTAGGCTCCATTGTGGTTGTAAGTTGAGGACTACTTGTAATCTATCCTAATATGCCATATTACATGATGAATTATTTATTCACTTAAAGCAGGAGTCCCCAACCCCTGGTCTGTGAACCGATCCCGGTCCGTGGCCTTTTAGGAACCAAACTGCACAGCTGGAGGTGAACGGCGGGTAAGTTCTTCAGAGCTGAAGAAGCTTCTTGGATGAAAAGTGAAACTTCTTCAAAGAAAAAAACCCAGAAAGTCTAGTTGCCTCTTGAAAAGGCACCTTTGGGACAACCAGGACCTGGATCACTGAGAATCTCTTGTCATGGTTCTGAGTAATGCTTGATATAGCACCTGAGGTACTGCTCCACCATGGCATTAGTTCATTCTACCATCCCATTGGTACTCAGGTGAAAAGCCAAACTAAACCCCTGGGAGGACCCAATTGACTGTACGAATTCCCTTCAGAACTTAGCCATGACCTAGACAGGTGAGTGAGTATTTGCAGTTACTACCCAGAACTAGCATCACCACTTCAGCTCACCTCAGATTATCAAGCATTAGATTTTCATAGGAGTGTGAACCCCACTGTATAAACTGTGTATGTGAAGGATCTACCGTATTTTTCAGACTATAAGACGCACCTGACTATAAGATGCACCTAAATTTAGAAGAGGAAAACAATTTAAAAGAGTTTTTGGCCTACCTTTTTGGGGGGCTTTTTTTGGCCTGTTTTGGTGGCTTTTTGGGCCTATTTTCAGGGCTTTTTCCAGCCCATTTTCAAGGCTTTTTGTAGCCCATTTTGTAGCTTTTTGGGGCCCATTTTTGGCTTATTTTTGGCCCATTTTCAAGGCTTCTTGGGGCCATTTTCGAGGCTTTTTTCAGCTGATTTTTTTCTGAAAAAATGGGCCGAAAAAACCCTCAAGAACAGGCCCAAAAACTCAAAACAGGCCAAAAAGCCTCAAAAATGGGCCAAAAAGGCCTGAAAAAGACCCCCAAAAGGCCCAAAAACAGGGCATGCAGAAGCCAAAACATGGCTGGTGGGTGGGCGGGGTTTTGGCATTATTCGGTCTATAAAACATGTTCGCTTCCTTTTGGGAGACAAAAAAGTGCGTCTTATAGTCTGAAAAATACGGTAAGTTATGCACTCCTCCTTGCCCTCCCAGGTCCATGGGAAAATTGTCTTCCCCTAGTGCCCAAAAGGTTGAGGGGCCACTGATTTAAAGACATAATCTCCTTTTTTCCCCTTCTGCTGCACAGGTAAATCCTTGAGTTACGACCACAAGCCAACCGAGAATTATGGTTGTAAGTTAGTCTGGTCATTAAGCAAGGCACTCCTATGATCATCTCACTTTAAGGCCACAATCCTTGCTCTAACCCCACCCCCTTGAATGCAGGCCCATGCATATTCATGTAGGAAAACACCCACCCACCCCATAATATAGACCTTCATACATATTCATGTAGGAAAACACATTTCTTCCCTGATGTGTTTGCATTCGGCAATAAGACAAATATGTAAGTAAGTAATTAGTTTCCCGCTGCTGCATGTTTCAAGACTGGAATGGCTGAAAACGAGAATAATTGTAAAAAAAAAAACACCTTCCACAACCTTTCCAAGCAGAAGATATGTCCCGTTTTGTGCCCTGTCTGTGTGACTAGAAGAGTATCTTCTTTTATCAGTGAAACCACCTGGGCTGCGATGTTTTCCAACCAAAACAAGGCTGAGCTATCTGGATGGTGTTTGCTGCCCCTGCTGATCTGTTCTGATTTTTAGAGCTCCTGGCTCTGGTGTCTGCAAAGTTATTTATTTAGTCCATGCCAATAGGAGAATAGGATAGGATAGGATAGGATAGGATAGGATAGGATAGGATAGGATAAGGATAGGATAGGAAAGGATAGGATAGCAATAGAATAGGGCATGCTCTCTACATGGGGCTCCCCTTGAAGAGCACCCGGAGACTCCAGCTGGTCCAGAATGCGGCCGCGCGGGTAGTGACGGGAGCTGCATGGCGCTCCCACATAACACCTCTCCTGTGTGAGCTGCACTGGCTCCCAATGGTCTTCCGGGTGTGCTTCAAGGTGTTGGTTATCACCTTTAAAGCGCTCCATGGCATAGGACCTGGATATCTTCGAGACCGTCTGCTGCCACCAATGACCTCCCACGGACCGATGCGCTCCCACAGAGAGGGCCTCTTCAGCGTGCCATCGGTCAAGCAATGTAAACTGGTGGCCCCCAGGGGGAGGGCCTTCTCTGCGGGGGCACCTGCCCTCTGGAATCAACTGCTCCCAGAGATACGAAGAATTCAAGACCTCGGTGCCTTCTGCCGTGCCCTGAAGACCTTTCTTTTTCAGCAAGCCGGGCTGGCTTAACGCTTTTTAAAATGTTTTTAATATGTTTTGTTATTGTTTTTTAACTTTGGGGCCAAACTTATATATATCTTTTAAAATTGTTTTTAATGTTCGTATCTATGTTTTTACTTTGGCTGTACACCGCCCTGAGTCCTTCGGGAGAAGGGTAGTCTATAAATTTGATAATTAAAAAAAAGAATAAAAAAAAAAGAATAGAATAGAATAGAATAGAATAGAATAGAATAGAATAGAACGCTCTAAGCGGTTTACAGAGTCAGCCTATTGCCCCCAACAATCTGGGTCCTCATTTTACCGACCACGGAAGAATAGAAGGCTGAGTCAACCTTGAGTCTGGTGAGATTTGAACTGCCAAATTGTAGGCAGCCAGCAGTCAGAAGAAATAGCCTGCAGTACTGCATTCTAACCACTGAATAGAATAGAGCTGGAAGAGATCTTGGTAGTCCTTGACTAACCAAAGTTCATTTAGTGCCCATTCAAAATTATAACGGCACTGAAAAAAAAAATTACTCAGGGTCATTTTTCACACTTACAACCATGGCAGCATCCCCATGATCATGTGATCAACATTCGGACGCTTGGCAACTGATTCATACTTATGACCGTTGCAATGTCCCAGGTCATCGGAACCCCTTTTGCAACCTTCTGACAATCAAAGTCAATGGGGAAGCCAGATTTGCTTAACACCCATTGTTACTAACTTAACATCTGCAGTGATTCACTTAACAAGTATGGTAAGGAAGGTCGTAAGATGTGGTAAAATTCCCTTAACAAATGTTTCACTTAGCAACAGAAATGTCGGGCTCCATTGTGGCCATACGTTGAGGCAGTGGTGAAATTCAATTTTTTTTACGGTTCTGTGGGCGTGGTGTGGCTTGGTAGGCGTGGCAGGGGAAGGATACTGCAAAAACTCCATTCCCACCCCACTCCAGGGGAAGGATACTGCAAAATCCCCATTCCCTCCCTACTCCTGGGGGAAGGATATTGCAAAATTTCCATTCCCACCCCACTCTGGGAGCAGCCAGAGGTGGTATTTGCCGGTTCTCCGAACTGCTCAAAATGTCCACTACCGGTTCTCCAGAACCTGTCAGAACCTGCTGGATTTCACCCCTGCATTGAGGACTATCTATATACTTGAGGATTGATGTATTCTCCAAAGCACCATAGGGCAGGCCAAGAAACAACAGGTGGAAGTTCATCAGAGGGAGATTCAACCTGGAAATGAGGAGGAATTTCCTGACATTGAGAATGATTTATCAGTGGAACATCTTGCCTCCCAATGTTATGGGTGCTCCATCAGGAGATTCTGCTGCCAGTTCTCCGAACTCCTCAAAATTTCCGCTACTGGTTCTTCAGAACCTGTCAGAACCTGCTGGATTTCACTCCTGTCATCACTGAAGTTTTTTTTTTTTTAAAAAAAAATATGGGACAATTGTTTGTCTGGGATGGTATAAAGGCTATGTCAAGTTTCCGAAAGATGCCCTAATTAATTCATGAGCCATGATCCAAACTTCAAAGGAAATATATTCATTTATTAGGAGCAACATTCCGGCAATACTTGGATACAGTTAGGACTGATCCCACGTAGATTTACATTCCCCTATGACCCTGTCTCTCCCCTCCTCTCTGGCCATGTCATAAATCACATTCTCCAATTAACCACTTTGGCTGGCTGTGAAACCTAACACCCTCCTTCTGATTGCGGTCAGAAAGAATGTATGGAATTCACTTCAGTTCTCCCTCCCTCCTGCTCATGGCAACTTGAAAGCTTTGCAAGTTGACAGGCTACTGCTTTAAACAGGGGGGTTGGACTAGAAGATCTCTATGATCCCTTCCAGCCCAATGATTCTAGTTTTATTGTGTACTTGGCCTTTCTGCTCCAAGGAGGGCTGAAGACATCTTAAGCAAATCTGAAAACAAAAGCCGAAGAAAGAAAAGCTTAAGTAAATTAGTGCCTCAAACAAACAGCTTTCTAAACTATTAAAATTATCTAAATGTTGAAAGTCTGGCTAGGGCAGGTAATAATAACTATCCCAGTGATCAAATTACAGAGCTATTCCGCTGGCATGACTTAAGTGCTGAAAGAGCTGAGCAGGACAAAACAAGAGAATTGTGGGTTTTTATTGTATTAAAAGTACATCGAGTTTATGGAGGAAGCTGGCATGTTGTGGGGGATTCTTAATCACAAGGAGCTTGGAACAAAATCCTCCCCCTTCCTATTGTTGAGCTCCCAATAATGAAGTAAAGTCTTCTTTAAGTTAAGCTTAACTCCCGGCAAATCCATGCTATCTTTCCAGCCACAGAATGGTTTGCTGCAGCATTTTTTCTTTCTTTCTCTTTTACTGATAGTCCTCGATTTACGACTGCAATGGAGCCAGGCATTTTCATCATAAGTCATAGTGGTCATAAATCAAGGCACCCATGTAAGTGACCCAATTTTACCTTTTTAATAGCAACCATTAAGTGAATACCATGATCAGCAACAGAATGGCAGGGTCATTAAGCGAGTCAATTGTCAGAATATTCATGACTGGGAAGACATGGTAACAAGGTCAGCCAATGAATAGGCATAGCAACTAAGTCAGCCAATTGATAAATTCCTTGAGTGAATTGTCCCGCAGCAAGTTGGCCATAGTGAGTTGGCCATGGAGAGTTGGCCATAGTGAGTTGGCCATGGAGAGCTGCCTGTGGTGAGCTGGCCATAGTAAGTTGGCCATGGAGAGCTGCCTGTGGTGAGTTGGCCATAGTGAATTGGCCATGGAGAGTTGCCTGTGGTGAGTTGGCCATAGTGAATTGGCCATGGAGAGTTGCCTGTGGTAAGGTGGCCATAGTGAGTTGGCCATGGAGAGTTGGTCATAGTGAATTGGCCATGGAGAGTTGGCCATGGAGAGTTGGCCATAGTGAGTTGGCCATGGAGAATTGCCTGTGGTGAGTTGGCCATGGAGAGTTGGCCATAGTGAGTTGGCCATGGAGAGTTGGCAATAGTGAGTTGGTCCTGATGAGATGGCCATAGTGAGTTGGCTGTAGTGAGCTGGCCATGGTGAGGTAGCCACAGTGAATTGGCCATGGAGAGTTCGCTGTGGTGAGTTGCCCATAGTTAGATGGCCATGGTGAGACGGCCACAGCGAGTTGGCTGTGGCCAGTTGTCCCATTTCCCTCTTGGGGGGTATTTATAACGATTCAAATCAATTAGTGATTAAGTCAAGACTATCTGTATTTCCCAGGCTAGACAACTGTTCTACGATTTCTTGGTGATTTCCATTTAAATATTATCTAGGATGACCTAGAACTTAGAATTTTCTAAATGAGCCAAGATCACAGAGAAGCTTTTGAAAACAGGTATTCTCCTATACGGTTTATCTCTTTCTTGATGGTGAACTTGACAAAGAAGAATATTGGAAACAAACCTCAAGCTTTGGGGTTTTGCATGTCTTCATGTGTGTCTTCAAATCCATCTTAATCTTTGCAATGAACTCAAACGATCAGAAGTGGTTTGCCAGCGTCACCTTCTTCCTAGGCTGTGATATGTGAAAAAAAATAAATCATTTTTTCAGTTGATGGGACTGTTTGATAGACATAAGGAATGTGCCCTTGCAACTCACAGCAGACTCATAGCAACCTGTGATTCTCAAGATGCAAAAGTTTCTTCTAACTAAGACCATTGTTCTCTGTATATCATAGACGGGCAGGAAGTATATTTTTAAAAAAAAATTATTTATTTATTTTTGTCAGCATGTATTAGATAACAGATAAAAGTATAAAACATGATTATGAATACATGAAATGAATATGAATAAATGGGGATAGTAGGACAGGAACGAAAGGCACGCTGGTCCGCTTATGCACGCCCCTTAAAGACCTCTTAGGAATGGGGTGAGGTCGACAGTAGATAGTCTAAGGCAGAGGTGAAATCCAATATTTTTTACTACCAGTTCTGTGGGCATAGCTTGGTGGGCATGGCAGGGGAAGGATACTGCAAAATCTCCATTCCCACCCCACTCCAGGGGAAGGATACTGCAAAATCCCCATTCCCTCCCCACTCCTGGGGGAAGGATATTGCAAAATCTCCATTCCCATCCCACTCTGGGGCCAGCCAGAGGTGGTATTTGCCAGATCTCCGAACTATTCAAAGTTTCCATTACCAGTTCTACAGAACCTGTCAGAACCTGCTGGATTTCACCCCTCGTCTAAGGTTAAAGTTTTGGGGGTTTGGGGAAGAAACCACAGAGTCAGGTAGTGCATTCCAGGCGTTGACCACTCTGTTACGGAAGTTGTATTTTCTGCAGTCTAGTTTGGAGCAGTTTACCATAAGTTTGTATCTATTGTGTGCTCTTGTATTGTTTTGGTTGAAGCTGAAGTAGTCATTGACAGGTAGGACATTGTAGCAGATGATTTTATGTACTATGTTTAGGTCAGACCGAAGACGGCAAAGTTCTAAATTGCCTAAGCCCAAAATTTCAAGACTGGTGACATAAGGTATTATGTTGCGATCAGAGGCGTGGAAGACTCTTCTTGTGAAATATCTCTGGACTCGTTCGATTGCATTAATGTCCGATATGCAGTACGGGTAATCCAAGTAATTCAAGATCTATTACATTACGTTCTGTCTTAGATCCAGTACTCTTCAATATCTTCAGAAATGACTTCGATGAGGAAATAGAAGGGGAACTAATCCGATTTGCAGATGACACTAAGTTGACAGGAATAGCCAATACTCCAAAAGACAAACTCAGGATATAAAAAGATCTTGACAGACTTGAACAATGGGCCCTACACAACAAACATGAAATTTAATGTGGAGAAAAGCAAGGTTTTACACCTAGACAGGAAAAAATGTACAAGAATAGATTAGGCGAAACCTGGCCCAAAAACAGTAACAGGCCCTTGAAGTCCTAGTCAGTGGTGAAATGTAAAATTTGTTACTACTGGTTCTGTGGGCATGGCTTGGTGGGGGGGGGTGTTAATGTGACTGGGTGGGCATGGCCAACTTTTTTTTTTTACTTTTAAAAGCATTTTTTCTACATTTACGGGACCGCCTACTACCACAAATAGTCTCCCACCGACCAGTACGCTCTCATAGAGAGGGGCTCCTCCGGGTGCCGTCGGCCAAACAGTGTCGACTGGCAGCCCCCAGGGGGAGGGCCTTCTCTGTGGGGGCACCCACTGTCTGGAATGAGCTCCTCACGGAGATACGGAAGATCCTGGATCTGCGCACTTTCCGCCGCGCTCTTAAGATCTTCCTATTCCAGCAAGCTGGCCTGGCCTAACCTTTCCCCCCTTTTCTTTTAAATTGAAAATTTTCAATCTGTTTTTAAATTATTGGGATGTTTTAAATTTGTCTTGGGCTAAATTGCTTAATCTGGTTTTATTTCAGCTTTTAAATTTTGTATTTATGTATTTTATTTTGTGCCTGTTCACTGCCCTGAGTCCTTCGGGAGTAGGGCGGTATATAAATCTAATAAAACAAAATAAAACAAAGAAACAACCTCTTCGGCCGAAGAGGTTGTAAAAAAATGCTTTTAAAAGGCTATGACGATCAGGCAACTCAGCTGGGATCGTCAGAGCCTTTTAAGAGCATTTTTTTCAGCCGAAGAGGTTGCAGAAAAAATGCTTTTAAAGGGCTCTGACAATCCCAGCTGAGCCGCGCGATCATCAGAGGCTTTTTTTTTTTTTTTACTTTTAAAAGCATTTTTTGGGCCGAAGAAAAAAATGCTTTTAAAAGTAAAAAAAAAAAAAAGCCTCTGATGATCGCGCGGCTCAGCTAGGCATGGGGGGCAGGTGATCCAGTCCGAACTGGGAGCATTTCACCCCTGGTCCTAGTGGAGGCATAGAATCAAAATCACGTGAAGTATTACTACTGCTCTATAAAGCCTTAGTAAGACCCACCTGGAATACTGCATCTAGTTTTGGTCGACGACTTCACAGAAAAAGATGTTGAGACTTTTGAAAAAGCGCAAAGAAGAACAACTAAGATGATTTAAGGTCTGGAGACTAAAACATATGAAGAACGGTTGCAGGATATCATGGCTTAGAATGGCACTCCCTTCTCCTTGGCCCCTCGCAAGGTTTTGCAATCTTTACCTTTTGTGAGTCAAGGAAGTAACCTCTAAGTTGTGAGGTTTGTGTGAGGACTCAACCTTTGGCATGAGGAACTTGTCGTGTCTTGATTTCCTTATTTAGTTAAGTTGATGACTTTTGCCAACTACGTTTGTGTAAAATATGCTTTGTCAGTTTTAGTCCAGGTGCCAAAAAGGATTAAGCCTCTTTTGTTCTATGGGTAGTCCCTCAACTCACAACCACTTGTTTCGTGACCATTTCAAGTGACAACGGCACTGATGAAAGTGACTTATGCCCAGTCTTCGCATTTACGACCATTACAGATCCCACGGTCACATGATCAAAATTTGGGTGCCGGGTTAATTGGCAGCTTTAATTGATATTTGCAGTGGGATTGCCATTTGTGATCTGCCCCAGGGGTGGGTTCTAAATTTTTTTACTACTGGTTCTGTAGGCGTGGCTTATTTTGTGGGCGTGGCTTGATGGTCATGTGACAATTCTTTAGGATTTAGCAGAGGTACTGGTCTACCAGGCTTTTAACTGCTTGCAGAGCTGTACCGATCTACCCATCTATTTTTGCAGGCACTGATCTACTCATGCATTTTTGCAGGCACTGGTCTACTCATTTGTTTGCTTTTAACACTGATCAGCTGTAGGACGGCCCTTTGAAGCCCCGCGGCAAGAGTTTAAACAGTTTTCTTCCCTCTAGCCATCAGCTGGGACTCAGGAGGCAGCAATAGATTGTGGGTGGGCCCAAATAAAAGGTAAGAATAATGCAGGGGGGTGGGGTGGGGGTGGGGGATGGGGGGTCAGAATCGGTTCGGTGACGTCATATTGTCACTGCTACCGGCTTGGTGGAACCAGGCCAAACCGGGAGGAACCCACCACTGATCTGCCCGGCTGCCTTCCGACAAGCAAAGGAATTGGAAGGAGCTGGATTCACTGAATGACCTTCTGAGTCAGTTAACTGCAGTGATTCACTTAATGCCCATGGCAAAAAAGGTCATAAAATCGAGCTCACTTAACAATCGTCTTGCTTAGAAAATGGAAATTTTATAAAGGAGAATATTTGTTGCTCAGGGTTGAAATGAGGGGTCCTTGGACCTCTCTGAGCTTGGTTGTTTACTTGCAGATGTTCCATTACCCAAAGTAGGTAACATCATCAATGTTAGAGGGGAGTGGGGTTGGAGTTGGAGAAGGAGGACTGTGGGGTCTTGGTTCTCTCTGAGCTTGGTTGTTTTCTTGCACATTTCATTACCCAAACTCAGTGGTGGGTTTCTCCCGGTTCGGCCTGGTTCGGCTGAGCCAGTAGTGGTGATGATATGACGTCACCGAACCGATTTTGCCCCCCCTGCCCTCCCTTGCCCCCCCACCCCCCCTGAATTATTCTTACCTTTTATTTGGCCCCACCCCCAAACTATTGCTGCCTCCTGAGTCCCAGCTGATGGCTAGAGGGAAAAAAACTGTTTAAACTGTTGCTGCGGGCTTCAAAGGGCTGCCCTACAGCTGATCAGTGTTAAAAGAAAACAAATGAGTAGACCGGTGCCTGCAAAAATAAATGGGTAGACCGGTGCCTGCAAAAATAAATGGGTAGACCGGTGCCTGCAAAAATAAATGGGTAGACCGGTACAGCTCTGCAAGCAGTTAAAAGCCTGGTAGACCAGTACCACATGATCATCAAGCCACGCCCACAAAATAAGCCACGCCCACAGAACCTATAGTAAAAAAATTTAGAACCCACACCTGCCCAAACTAGGTAACATCATCAGTGTTAGAGGGGAGTGGGGTTTGTGGAGGAGGAGGAGGAGGTGGACTGTGGGTTCTTTGGTGCTCTCTGAGCTTGGTTGTTTTCTTGCAGACACTTCATTACCCAAACTAGGTAACATCATCAGTGAAGATGATTACCTAGTTTGGGTAATGAAACATCTGCAAGAAAAGCAACCAAGCTCAGAGAGCACCAAAGACCTCTCAATGGGAATTTTGATTCCAATTTTGGTTGCAAATCGAGGTACTCCCCATATTGACTTAGAGCTCATTGGAAGGTCAAGAAAGATGCAGAGTAAGGTTGACATGGGCGATGGTTCTGACTTTCTTCCTACCCCAACTAACATCTTTTCTTCTCTCCGAGGACTTCAACTGAATTAAGTCAGGGGAAATTTTCACGAATGTCCTTGGTCCTTGCCAAGTGCTTGCATCCCTTGACTTTGGCAGAGGCTCCCCCCCGCCACTGTTTCCCACCCAAGTTCCTTCTGTTCGCAACGCCACCGCTGACCTTGGCAAGACTGTCCCTTGCAGACTAATGACCAATTGGAATTAATGGCTTGATGCTATATCTGATGCCATCAGGGTTTCTCAGCTGGCCAGTAATCCCATTACTGCTTAATGGATCTGATTCATCAGCCCTTTGAAGTTTGAGTCACTGCTGCATGAGAGGAGACACAGAGAGGTTATTACTATTCTC